AATGTCTTATGTCCTCTTCAGGACCGAGAGAATGCTCAGAGTTCTTGTGCTGGACTTTTTATCGCATCTCATATTGGATTTGACTGGCCAGGAGTCTGGGTTCATGTGGACATTGCATCTCCTGTTCATGCGGTGAGTGATATTTCCTACATCCTCCTTTATAGATCTGTGGAGAATATATTATTTTTTGATTTGTACTTCACAGCACAGATTAAGGGAAATTTAAAGTATCGGAACTGGAGCAGCCAAAATCTGGAGCAGGTGTCTGTGGCAAATCTGTGTCGCTTTCATTTTCAAAGCTTAACTGAACAATCTGAAGAGAGATGCTGATTGGTTGCCATGGACAACGGTTCCAGATTCGGTCTGCTCCAGTTTGGATTAAAGGCCGTGACACACTGCACGCCAAGCTTTGCGTGCAGTGTGTGAGCTGACTGCAGTCAGATGATTGACTGCACCTTCAGCCAATCGGCTCGTCCGTAACAACCAGCCAGCTGTCGCATACCAACGCGCTGGTTTATTCGCGCGAGCCGATTGGCTGAAGTTGGAATTGTTGATCTCGGCACGCTCAGCTCCGCGAGCTCTCGCCAGCTGAGGTGCCCAGGAGAAAATGACACACTGCTCGCAAAGGCAGCAGCGCGCCACCGCTCTGCGCTGCTTCACCTGCAGTGTGTCACGGCCTTAATTCCCCCCAGTGAGGTGCTAATTCCCTTATGGCACTCCACTTTGGCTGCAGTGTGACCCCTGGGTCCACATGGTAGGTTCTTGTTTTTCCAGGAAAATGTGAAATTGGTGCCCTTTCCGTGCGGTGAGCTAATGTGGACAGCACCTGCACAGTTACCGTTTTCACGTGGCCACCATTTTGCCCTGACGCTAACTCTAGGGAAAATTCCCTTTGCCGTCCTGCTGGAACATGCTTCTGCTGCTCAGGTTAACTTCTCATGGGCTGAATCTCTGCTGCTCTACCGCTACTGCTCTATACGGAGTCATCCCTGCCTTCTAGTGTTTGAATACATGGCACTCTTCTGATTAGTGAGTTGGGGGGCCTCATAGACACTTTCTGGGTCAAGGGTCAGCACCTCCACAATAGAGTTCTTTCACTGCTAGTACCATGTGATGCTGCTTGACTCCCTCATTGCAAGTGTCAAGTCCTCCCCATCTCCCTCTAGGCATACCACTTTTTCTATTTGTAGATTAATTTTCAGCAGCGATGTCAGATTTTCTGGGTAAGATGATGGGTCACCTTGAGTGGGAAGGGGAGAAGGAGGAAAGACTGAGTCCACTTTGCAGGATTGCACCCACCCATGGAGGACTTGTCTCCTGACATTTCCCCTTATGCCACGATTTCTGTCTTTTTGTAGACACCGTGCACACATGCTTACAGTTACAGCCATTTACATTGACCCTTAGAGGGCACTGGCCTGGGGTCATTCACAATGTTTTTCAAGGTGACTCCAGTCCTAATTACATAGCAACTTTGACTAGTCACCTTGAAAAATGTTATTCTACCGAAACAACTTTGCCAAGCAATGTCCTATTGAGGATGGTTTCCTTAAATGGGTGATAGCTATTGTGGACTTTGTTTAAACAAGAGCCTTATGGTCCCTGTAGAGGACGGTGCTGGATTTCATGGTCCACACGGACATGAGGTTTAAAAATCCTCTTTAAGGGCCTGCTATATAATGTGCTGTTACATACCGAGGTCAGTCATGCCGCCATAATGGTATGTCTAAACCTATGGTTAGGGACCCCAAATCCATTTTTACAGACCCTGAAGTTCTCAGTGACTTAGGAAAACGTTCTATGACCTGGTATTTTTTGCATTGGACTGATGGATGACCTCCACCAAATTTCCAGAATGTGCCTCCTGTCTGCCCACCTGAGGTGGAGTCATTAGCTCAGATACTGGCAGGTGGACTTCCCCTGCAAGAAGCATCTAGACCACATAACCCTTCCCATACTGGGAAATGCCTTTTTGGTGGAAGTTCCTTTCCTCCATCCCCAGGACTCGGGTTACAAGCCCAAGCAGGGCTCACGGTTGAGGCGTAATGTCTTGGCCATGCTGTGCTCCTGTTCTTTACTGTGTTGTCCTCCCCTCTGTTGGATTGCCTTTTAAACGTCCCAGTGGTCAAGGAAGTTACTCTGAGTCCTGTGATGTACGATGAAGACACTGAACTCTTCTGTATTCTGTGATCTGTACTGAGGCAGGCTGGGAGGGGTTATGCAGGGCTGCGCCGTTTAGTTTGATTGATTTACTGCACAATCTAATAGTTCAATAATGTAACATCCTGCGGTGTACTCCAATAATGTAACATCCTGCGATGTACTCCAATAATGTAACATCCTGCTGTATACTCCAATAATGTAACATCCTGCTGTATACTCCAATAATGTAACATCCTGCTGTATACTCCAATAATGTAACATCCTGCGGTGTACTCCAATAATGTAACATCCTGCGGTGTACTCCAAGAAACAGATTTGAGGAGACAAATATCCTGTAGTGTTTGTTTTGGATAGAGCACAGAAGGACTAGAACCCTTGTAGGATTGTTTCTGCTGTCTGCCTCTGATTAGAGATTTACCCCGCACCTGGAGTACAGGTTACCAGGCAGGAAGTGATGGGGAAATTGGTAAGAGGAACACAGACTTAAAAAGAAAAGTTGCTTAAAGGGAAGCTGTCATGTAGGAATATGTGGACTGCCATGACTGAGCTTGAACTTGCTTTTTGGCTACCTGTCTGTAATTGTAATGTGACTTGTCTGCGGTAACTCATAGGAAACAGTCTTCATTTGTCCAGTGTACGAGTGAATTGGGTAGCTGTGTGACCACATGAATGGTTCATATTACAGACACTTCTATATAGACTGAGGGACCAGAGTTTGCTGAAATCCCTAATAAATACAAGCCATCATCTATGACCTTTGTTTAAGGATTGTAAAATCATTCAGAATTGGTGCATTTAGAAGTGGATTTCACATTCCCATACAAGCCGTACGGAAATGCCTAATCCATGGAATATTAGCAAAGGTTTAATGGTTTGTTTCACTTTATCTCTTCTTTCTGCAGGGTGAGAGGGCCACAGGTTTTGGGGTGGCATTACTCCTCTCCCTGTTTGGCCGTGCCTCGGAGGACCCTCTACTCAATATGGTCTCCCCTCTGGGCGAGGATGAAGTTGAAGAAAACCCTGAACGTGATACTAAAAGAAGGCGTCTTGTGTAAGAAGAGCTTTACCTGTGACCACTGAATAGTGCTTTGTGTATTCCATGTGACCGGGCCTGGCAGACCTTCTGTCTGATCCAACTACTCCTTCATGTGTACCGTACTTGGTAATGAAAACCTGTGCCAATCGGGTCTCCTCCTCTTCTCACTTTTCTGTCTCAGGCCTGTGTGTCATAGCTGACAGTTACATGGAACAGGGAAGTCAGGTATTGTATTGGTGCAGTGTCATCCTCCTCCCTCAGACACCACTATGTGAGAGATCCTTCTCCCCTATGTCTTTATACACCAGTTACTGCTTTCAATAAAACTGTTTTGAATACATGATATATATAACGTGTTTATAGAATTTGTGTACACTGAATCTTTGAATGTAACAAATGAGCTGGTTTAGGAAAACTGCAATGGCTGACTTAGGTTAACCTGTCAGTGTTCTCATTCCAATCAGGACAAACCTCCCCCTGTGTCTATCTAAAAATGTTTACTTTGAAGTGAATTGAAATGTTACATTAACCAGTTGGGTCTCCAGGTTGTGTTACCCAGCGGCCAATACTTGTGATGTCAGTTCCAGCTCAGGAATGGCATACAGGATAAGGGTTGCAGACTATGTTCAATTATTCTGAAGGTAAAGTACTGCCAGTCACCTAAATACACATTTCTGTCCCAGGAACCTTCCGAGTGCCCTGTGTGTCCAGGATCTGAAAGCCTCACATCCTTATCAGCCATAATGGAGAAAAGAGAGATGTACTGATCTCAGGCTGGCTTTTTTTTAATCAGGATTTAAAGTGACTAAACTCCAAATGTAAATCTTAAAAATGCATTCAGGTACCTACCTTCACTATTCACAGAAATGTCTCTTATTTGTGTATCACTCGGCCATAGATCCTCAAATCATCTCTGAATTGGTGCTGACACTGTCCTTCCTTCTGGAGGGGGGCGGGCTACTTTACAACACAGGGACCATGGGGGGGCAAAAGTAGTCCCCACTCCAAGCTCACTCCCATAATGCACTACAATCTTTATACAAATTTGTAAGCTAAACGTGAGATTGTAGTCCATCCTGGGAGCAAGCTTGGAGTGATGACTACTTCATAACACACACAGGGACCATGGGGAACACAAGTATCCCCCCTCCAGAAGGAAGGACAGTGTCAGCACCAATTCAGAGATGATTGGAGGATCTACAGCCGAGTGACACACAAATAAGATACATTTTTCTTATAGCTAGGGGTAGCTGAAGGCATTTTTAAGATTTGACTCCTGAGTTTAGTGTCACTTTAACCACAGCAATGTTTGCCAGTTCTGATAGATTTCCACCACAAGGCAATGGTTTGGTCATTCAGAACCACCACAGTGCTGGTCAAAAGATTGAATTGAAATTGATCTGAAAATCCATCAAAACCATCATATGAGCACTTGAAACTTACCACTTAAAGCAGAATGCCGACAAAGTTCAAACAGCACTAAAATCCCCCTGTGTATATATACAAGCACCCCAATAGAGTGCATTTTGGCTCACCATCACAACGTAAAGCAACCATCTGCCTCTGGCCAGGATCTACAACACACATCTCAGATACTTTGTATAAATCAATGATTTATTAGTGTTTATTTTTAGTTGCATACAAATTATTCTCATGTAAATGTGTATTGCAACCTTAAGAGTCACATTATTATACAGTTATAATACAAGACACAGTACTAGCCTGTCATCTGCACCCCTGTAAAAGCTTACAGTGGGTGTTCTCAGAAGTATTGGGGTGTCCTGGTCCACATCGGTGAAGGTCACTCGTCATGTCGTTCTCTGGTCCATTTGATCATGGTCTCAGGAGATCTGTAGAGGAATATCAGTTTGGCAAACAGTTGTTCTTCCAGGTCCAAGTCTCCCGTCTCTCGCACCAAGAAGATGTCTGTGCAAAGTTTTAATATGCGGTCCACATTGGGTAGTTCCTCAAACATGATGGAGCGTGAGATCCCATTGAAGAACTCTCGGATGAATTTGCCAATGACCAAAACGACGGACATGTAAAGGCCCACGATGCTGCAAAGTCAGAGAGATCTGGGTGATTATACTCTAATGAGCAGGGACTGGCTTGACGCAGGTATTTCTATCGCTTAGATCTGTCAGTAACTGATGGAGGGCGGCGTCAAATATTTACACCACTGTGTTCTTTACCTTGTGTATGTAGGGTGTAGTGGAGGGTGCAGTGTGCATTCAGGGTGGCAGACGTGGATGTGCTGTAATTGAGGAGGGGGCTCATTCAGGTTGCCAGTGAAGAAATGAGCTGTGATTGGGGGTTGAATGCAGGCTTGTCTGGGAGTGATGTTCTGAGGAGGGATGCAGTGCTTGGGGGTGCATTCATGTGGCAAGGAGGGGGATGCACTGTGATTGGGGGAGAGAATGAAAATGAAAGTTCTCAGAAAAGGGATATGCTGTGATTGCAGGTTGCCTGGGGCAAATGCAATGTGAATCAGGGTGGTGAATGCAGGTTGCCAGAAAGGGATGAGGTGTGATCGGCGGTCCATTGCAGGTTACCGGAGCGTGATGCACTTTATGCAAATCACTGTTGCAGGTGTGGAATGCCTTGTGATAAGGGTGTAAATGCAGGTTGCCAAGATGGGATGCATGCTGCATGTGGGTAGCAGAGGAAGAATGCAGCCTGCACCACTAGCGTGGCAATCAGGGAAGGGGCGTGTGCGGTGATTAGGGAGTGACTTCAGGTAATCGGGGAATGTGATCAAGGGGCAAAGGAAAGATGTGCAGGTTGCCAGTGATGTGTGATGTGATCGCCGGGCCGACAGAGGTGCAGAGGGAGTGTGATGTCCTTTGATTTGGGTATGAATGCAGATGCGGGTTGCTAGGGTGGAATGCACAGAGATGCATGCAGGTTTGAGGTAAATGGTGGGCTGTCCCTGTGGGGGGCTACACTGTGATTTGGGGTACACAGGTTTTCCTGCGAGTGATGCACTGCATGTAGATTAACAAGTAGAGATTCAATGCTTGAGGGTACAGTCAGGTTGCCAGGGAGGGATGAGTTTTGACTTGGGGAAAGCTGTGAAATCAGGTTGCCAGCCCAGGAACAGATGAGCTGTGATCGGGTGTGAAAGCAGGTTGCCAGAGTGACATGTTCTGGAAACGGGTCGTGCAGGTGGCCAGGGATGGTAATTCGGGAACGGGGTGGCAGATATGCAGGTTGCTACGGTGGAATGTGCTGTGATTGGCAGGTCAATGCAGATTGCCAGGGATGGAAAGCGCTTTGATCAAGCAGGGAGATGTGCACTGTGATTGAGGTAAATGTAGGTTGCCAGAGTGGAATGACCTGCTATTAGGGGTTGAATGCAGGATGTCAGAGGGAGTCGGGGCTTGTAGGTCGCCGAGGAGGGATGCAATGCTTGGTGTGCATTCAGCGTAGCAGGAACGTGTGCTGTGATTTTTAGGTGTGAATGGCGCTGTGATCACAGAGATGTGATAGGGCGTTGAATGCACTGTGATGAAGGGAAGGAAGGTGCTGGGAGAGATTGTGCTGTAATGTGGAGTGAATGTAGGTTTTGTGTGAGTAATGTGCTTTGTGTAGCTTGCCAGGGAGGAGATGTGCTGTGATCAGGGTGCATGTGGGGGGTTGAGGTAGGAAAAAGGAAAGGACTGTTTCTATTGGCTGGGGTTGATGGCCAGGGATGTAGTGTGTGTATGGGGGAAAGCTGCAACAGCACCTCCTAGGTTTTCCTATATGTTCACACCATTCAGCTAAACACAAGGAATGAGAAGCCGTTACTTTGAAAAGGTGAGGAAAATACAGTGCTACTTCCTGTTCATGAACAGGAACCTCCAGAAAAATGTTGCCTCCGTCCGCGAACTCTGCTTCGGGTGACAAACACAACCGCAGCCATTTTCCCCGCTCTGACACGTTTGTGGCTTTCTCTAGTCGAGATCACAGTTTGATTCACGACCAGAATCGCCGAACGAATTAAGTTTGTGAACCGAGGTACCACTGTATGGGGGAGAGCTGCATGACAGGGGTGGTGGTTGGGTAGGGGAATGCAGTTTGAAACACTGTTAAATAATTAACAGCGTGTGCAAGGTACCTCAAAGTATTTTAGCCGGTACCTTGTACGCCTGGGTCATCTGGTTAAGAGGTGATTTAATAAAACACAACTTTTTGCAAGAAGCCTGAGTTTTTCTTCTCAAGAACCAGAACACCTCGGTATCTGCTTGAGGGGTAGCAATTAGAGGTGCACCGAAATGGAAATTTTAAAACCGAAACGAAACCAAAATAAAAAAGTCAGGCCGAAACTGATACTGAAAATTAGTTTTTTATAAACTTTTTAAATTTATTTGTAAAATATTTTTTTATTAAATATTTTATTTTTCACTTTACTTTTAGGGGCTTCTGGGAAATATTGGGGGTCTAAACAGACCCCTGATATTTCCCTTTTAAAAATAGAAAAAGAGTGAGGACTCATCTGTGCCCCCCCTGTTCTCAATGAACAGGAATCCTCTGAGTGTTCCTGTTCATTGATAAAACAATGTTCTCATGTTATGATGAATGGGGGTGATGTAGATCACTCCCATTCATTCATAATTGAGTATATAGGTAACATGCCATATCCTCAATGATGTACACACACTCAGCGATCACTGAGTGTGTGTACATTGCTTTTCTCTCTGACACGCTGCCACAGGAGGCTGATCAAGCGGTGTAGAGAGGAAAGCCCAGCCTCCTGTGACAGCGCTGTCTCCGCCCCCACACCGCTCTGTGATAGGCGGTTGAGCGGTGTGGGAGGAGAGACGCCGGCCGCTCGCAGCGCTCTTCCGGCTGTCACTATCTTTTCTCCCCCCGCTGGGCGCTGATCCAGCGGGGAGAAAAGAAACCAGGTATGCGCCGATGTATTGGCAGGAAAAGCAAATCGCCAAGTGTGAATGGGGCCTTAGGTGTGAATGAGTCTTACACACCCTTAGGCCCCATTCACATTGAGCGATTTATCGCACTGCAATTCCCACGATATCGCGGCTATTTACCGTGCGATATTGCTCTTCAATGAATCTCAATGGGGCAAAGGGTCCTGCTGTCGCGGGTCGTGCGTCGCTACAGCAGGACCCTTTTTTGGAGCGGATTTTTGCCGCGATTCTCGCTTGCTCAATGCAAGCATTTGCGCAAAATGCAAATCGCGCAATGTGAACGGGGGCTTTAGACATTAAAGTTGTTCCCCTATGTACAGAGACTTGTGTTGCACCTGAGCAGTGCAGGGCTCCACAAAGACAGAAAATAGTTCTCTATGTTCCCTGTTCTCACCACAACAGAGTGGAGAGGTGCCGAAAGATGCAGCATCTATTAATTTTCCCACAACAGAGCTCATCTCACATGTTTCTATGCACTGCAGCGCCACTGTGATTATAGAATATATTGTCTATATTAATCTAAAAATATTGGCACCCCTGCCAGCTAATAAACCACTTTGCGCAGAAAATTGTTGCAGTTACAAATTTTAGCCATTTTCATGTTTGTATTGGTATGACACAAAAGTTGAGAAAAAATAAAATAAAAGCCACATTCCATGCAAAACTCTAAAAAAAAAAAAAAATGGACTGGACAAAATTATTGGCACCCTCAATGAGTAAGAAGCACAGGCCTTGGAAAAATACATCAATGGCTTCCTGTAATGGTCAATGAGTTTCTTCACCTCTCTACATCAATTTTGAAGCACTCTTCTTTCACCAACTGCTCCGGGTCTCTCAGATTGGAAGGGCTCCTCTTCCCAATGGCTGTTTTGAGATCTTTCCTCAGGAGCTGTATTGGATTTAGAGTCCAGTACTCCAACGCTTTGTCTGAAACCATTTCTGGGTGCTTTGGGTCATTGTCCTGCTGTGAGACCCAACTTTCTGACACGGGGCCTGCATTGTACTCCAGAATTCTTTGTTAGTCTGCAGATTTCAGAAAGACATGCACACTCAAGACATCCGGTGCCTGCAGCAGCAAAGCAACCCCAAAACATCAGTGCCCCCCCCCCCAACCATGTGTGACTGTAGGCACTTTTCAAAAAAAAAAAAACAGTAGAATGACGGGTTTTACCAAGAAGCTGTCATTTTGTTTTGTCTGTCCACAGCACATTCTCCCAAAAGGATATTGGCTTCCTCGGGTACGTTTTGATGTTTCTGTGTCAGCAGTGGGTCCTCCTGGGTCTTCTACCATAGCGTCCCTTTTCATTCAGATGGCGACGTATAGTGCGAGCTGACACAGTTGTACCCTCGCACCATTCGGACAAACCTTTTCATTGCAATCTTTGATCAATTGTTCTCTTTCATCCACGTCCAGAGCGATTGGCTACAGTGCCACGGGGCTGGAAACTTCTTGACAATGTTGGGCACAGAGGACACAGGAACATTACATTAAGATCTCTGGAGATTGACTAACCTTGAGATTGTCCATGCTTTTCCACAAAAACTTAGTCAGGTTGAAAAAAAAGACACATGTCCAACTATGTATTCCACATCGAGTTCAACCTATGACATGCAATTATTTCTTCCAATTTGGCACCTTCTCCAATCATTTTGTCCATTTGATTTTTGGAGTTTTGCTTGGAATGTGTCCAATTTTGGCTTTTTTTTTTCCATCCACTTTTTTGTGTCACACCACTTCCCAAATAAACAAATATAAACAAAATTGTTTTATTTGTTTATTTGGGATGTGGGAAGTGGTGCATTTGGGATGTGGGAAGTGGTGCATTATCTGGCAGATAATGCTGGGGTGCCAATATTTTTGCCCACGATATATCGGTGCATCCCTAATTTATATATAAAAATTTCGGCTGAAAATTGCACTTTTGGCATAATGCCAAAAATGCAATTTTCCTGCCGATACTTTTCTCCTCCCACACCGCTCAGCCTCCTATCACAGTCTGGCAGAGCGGTGTGTGGGCGGAGACAGGCCACACTATCACAGGTGGCTGAGCTCTCTCCTCCCTACACGGTTCGCTCAGCCTCCTGTGACAGCTGTCAGCGATCACTGACTGCTTGTACCCGCTCTCCACATAATTGAGGACATGGTATGTGTACTAGCCTCAATTATGAGTGAATGGGAAGTGATCCACATCCCCTCCTGTCCAATCATGATTGTTATAGTAAACATACCATATCCTCATATTATCAATGAACAGGAACACTCAGTATAGAGGATTCCTGTTCATTGATAACAGGGGATACAGAAAAGAGATGGAGAACACAATCTCTTTTTCTATTTTAAAAGGGAAATATCAGGTCTGTTTTGACCCAATATTTCCCCCGAAGCCCCTAAAAGTAAAAAAATTAAAAATATTTAATAAAACAAAGAATTAATTGATAAATAGAAAAAAAAATGTAAAAGAAAAAAATGTAAAGATTGAAAAAATTAAAATAAAAATTCAGTTTCTGCATGACAATTTTTGTATTTCGGTTTTAAAATGTCAATTTCAGTGTGCATGCGCACGTGGCACAGCCCCCTCCCACTGTTGGCACGCTAATACAAATCATTTTAGCAGGCAAGCTGGTGTGAATAAGCCCTTAGGAAGAAACAGTGTTGCCTGTGATGCTGCTGTCATAGTGCATAGAAGAGAATGTGGATGATCTCATGTTTTGGATAATGATATAAAAGGGGGGGGAGTTCTTACCCGTATCCAGCTAGGAATCCCAGGCTCTGAGGACTGGCTTTATCATTGTATATGATGATTTCTATATTCTTAGCACAGCCTGCCCCACACGCTGGTTGCCACTCCTGAATCACCCACCACTCCGTCACCTGGCCTGACGTGCTGTTAACAGACTGCTGCTGCAGCTTCATGGTTAAATTTCGGAAGAAGGCAAATTTCTGGATGTCTTCCGGCTTCTCGGAATAGTCTGAGGAAAGACAATAGGAGGTGAAAGGATTGCCATAGTTCTAGTACAGTCTGGCAATGAGGAAAGGAAATATTGAGCAGAACACCAGCAGTCCTCACCCATCACTGGCTGCAGCAGATAATCCCTTCCCCATTTCTAGTACATTAAATAGAAGCTGCCATTCTCTGATCCGTAGGCCATGTCACAGCACAAGTCTGAGAATGCCAGCTGCCATCTGAGCCTTATCACTGACATGTTGCTATGTGGCACATCCTCTGAGATTTGGCTGTTATCATAATCGTTCCTATTACCTGTCTGTAGACGGTGAGCAATTTTCACCTCAGGCCCAGCGTTTGCTCTAAGGTGCTTGGGTAAAATGTTCTTTAACATCCTAAAAAGACAAAAAATCAGACATACTTTAATGCAGCAGCTATGGATAAAATATGTGTAACCACAATGACATATAAACTTTAAAGCTGCTCATACCATACAACGCTCAATTTCCCCCGCTGGGCTATTGTATTCTGACTGCAGTGGGTGAACCGCTGTCAGCATTCCCGAACAGTCAATGTTTGGCTGAGAATTTTTTTAGACTGGCTCCATTTTCTAATATAGATTATTGTTGAATGGAGAGTTGCCGACAGGACCAACGCTGTTCAAATTTTTGACAGCCAGCTCAGCTGATGTTCAAACAGTGTATATCATCACCTTGTCAAAAGTAATTTTAGGTCCTGGTTACATAGGCTGACAACACTGAGTTCTACTCCTGCGTTGTCATCCTGGCACATGGGCTCAGGGGCAGGGCCCTCCTTACCATCTTGTCTTGAATTGTAATGTCTTCCTTACATTGTAAAGCCCCTCGCAAACTGTTGGCGCTATATAAATACTATGTAATAATAAGTAGGCTTTCTAAGACACATTACACAGGCATGGTCCAGTATTGCCACTAGGGTGAAAAGTACTTGTCAAAATGCCCCGATTCATAGCGCCAATGCTTTTTTCATTTACCTTCAGTGCTGGGGAGGAGCTCCAGGTGGGGTCCTAATTTAGCTTGTCGGCGACTGCCCAGAGGACACACACACACTTACAAAAGGTTGCTTCT